GTGTGTGTGTGTGTGTGTGTGTGTGTGTGTGTGTGTGTGAAAACATACCAATATTGGAAACATGACTTTGCCTTCGCCAGAAATCGCGGGTAGCTTAAAGACTACCCAAGATGATGTCTGCTGTCCTTCAGCCATAGGAAAACAGGATCCTCCAGGCCTTACACCCCAGTTGTCTCCTCCCTCCCCCTCCTCCTCCCTCCTTCATGATCTCCCACCCAGAGAGCTCTGTAGCCTAATGAAGCCAAACAACATTAAATCACAGATACTGTTTAGTCAGTCACCCCACCACTCACTCTCACCAATGCCCCCAGAGCACTTTTCTGCCACTTTCCTTGGGCTCCCATGGAATCTGTGCTTGGGGCAGGGGTGACAGGGAAGGGACCAGAAGGCCTCATGAACAGATGGCTCTGTGTGTGTGTGCAGGAGTCAGAGAATACATTCCTTCATGCAGGGTTAGGGCATAAGATGGGAGGCCAACACCTTAGAGGCCTGGTCAGGCACTCTCTCTGCCCTGGACTCACCTTGGGTAACACACAGCGGACATCCCTCAGACCTACCTCTGGGGGTGCATCAAAGGACTCCACCTCAACTTCAGTTGAGTTAGTTTTGTCTGAAGCCTGCTGGGGTTTTCCATCATCAGCTTTGTCAGCCTTGTCCTTACTTGAGCCTTTGGACGATTTGGAGTCTTTGTCCTTGGAAATCAACTTGAGGTCCTTGAGGGCCTTAGAGAATTTGGACTCCTGTGCCCCTCCTGAGAGGATTTCTACAGCAATCTCTACCAAGATCCTGCCCCTGAAAGACACTCCTTCCCCAAAGCCTTCATTTAGCTCCTGGTAGTCGTCCATCAGACTGTGGTTCCTGGGAGAGCCGTACAGGTTAATCCAGGCAGGTCCAAAGGTCGGGAGGAAGCCTAGGGAAACCCAGCTTTAGTCACCTGGTTGTGTTCTTGAGTTTCTCATATGTTTGCTTTATAAAAGTTGTTTATATGCACTTGAAAATGTAGACCATATAAGAAAAATCAAAGCAAAAATTTACAGGCCAATCTGTCGCCAAAATAATTTCACTAAATTTCCTCCTAGTCCTTTTTCCATGAATCTGTTCACATTATAATCATATTCTAAAGACCAGCACATGCCTTTGTCTTCAGTGATTCAACAAGTGTCAGTTGACTCCTAACACGTGCTAGGGACCATGCTAGACAACAACCATGTTTTCCAGTAGAGGAGAGGCAGAAACAGACACTGTAAATATTTACATTATAAACACTGTAAAGGAGCTCTATCTTGTGCTATAAGAAGAGACAGTAGGCTGGTATAGCATGAAGAGAAGTCAGGAGAAAGAACGAGGCAGAGAGAGAGAGAGAGAGAGAGAGAGTGAGTTTGGGCAGAACAGACGGATGTGCCATTGGAAAGGAGCACAGAGCTAGAGCCTAAGCTGTATAAAAAGATTTGGGGAGATTTAGGATTCTTGAAAAGGACTTTAGTTTTCATCCTACAATCTAAGGCAATATTGTAAAGGGATTTAAGCAAAGACTTAGTCGCGTCTCTTCAGACCACTCTGGCTGCAGTGGGAAGCGATATAAGAATGGAAGTGGGCAAATGGAATGACGTCACCTTCACAACTGCAGGCACTGCCGCTCCGCCTGGCTAAGGTAGTAGAGACCTAGAGAAGCGAATGTTCTGAGATACGTTCTAAGCACATTACTGAAAAGACCTGATGGCTTTTAACTTACATCCAGCATAAATTCACATTTTCCCTTCTTAATACACCGTATCTGAGAAGGGGCACCATGCCCCTGGGAACATCTGTTTGGCATCTGTTCCTTCCTGAGAGGCAGTATAACACGTGGGTCAAAGATGACTGCTTGGGCTCTAATTTCATCTCTGGCCCTTCCCAGCAGTATGACCTCGAGCAAGCTTTGCAACTTCCTTTGGCCTTGATGTGACCCTCTGGAGGAAATGCTAATAGTACCTGTCTCATCTATCAAGATGAAAAGAGATAACACGCAGTAAGTGTTTCCTGCAGGAGCCTCGGAAGCGCTCAACCATCTCAGCTAATAATAGAAGTGCTCAACAGTATCAGCTATTAATATGAATGTGACTATTATTGTCATTTCCTTAACAATCCTCCCACTGTTGACAATTAAATATTTCCACATACTCTACTGTTAAAGACAGTTTTGTGCCTCAGTGGTCCCTTACTTCCAACTCTACAACTCTACTTCTGGATCCTATCTCTTCTTTGAGCAGACTTAACAAAGCAGGACAACTCTGTTAAAAGGGATGGGGAGAGTCTATGATCCCCGATGACTACTCTTTAACTACTCACACATCTTCCTCAACACCATTAAGAGTTTCTGAGAGGAACAGAGATCTCTTGCAAATGGAAAGGTGATCCAGAAAGGGAGTGGGAGGGAGTGGAGGGGAAGGGGAGTGAAAAAAAATTAAGGTAAGTAAAATTCATGTACCAACTTTAGCTGGCTAAGTACATTGTACCTACTAAGCCAAATTGAAACATTATGTACTGCAAAGATATACTAATAACGTTAAAGTAAAATATTAAAATAAAAGTTTTAAAAGGTGTTTCTGGAAAGTTGTAAGTGAAATGTATTCAGATATGGCTAAGAAGTTACGTGCATAGGTGAGTAGGTTTTTCATGGAGTGGAAAACACTTCCATGTATGGAGAAATAGAAAATACATAGTGAGGTCTTCCTATGGCATCAACCATGGAGGGGGCATAAAGTGGATGAATCTTGTCCTCTGATACTTCCCAGGCTTTAGTGTAATAAAGGGAAAGTAACTTTGAACACTTTCAATTTTGATTTTGAAAAATTTTAAGTTTCTATGAAAACTATAATTTCTATATATGTAATTATATATTTGTGACCCATTACATATATGATAT